TTTTTTTTTTTTTTTTGTTTTTTTTGTTTTTCCTTTTTTGTCTCCTTCTCACGGTAGAAACTACAATGTATTTACAAGGACTTCTAAAACTAAATATACCCATCAGAATGCCACCGTTTCCTAACCAATAAAACGCCACTGGTTCTTGTAAACATTCTTGGCCTTTCATCTACAACACTCTTGCCTTTGGTTTATGACTCGCTTTTGAATTTAAAACCCATTCAAATTAACTAAAAATAACATCTAACTTTTATTCTATAAAACTCTTCCATAAACTTAAATGCTCCTACAATTTGTCATGCCGATCATCTTCTTGTATTTGTGGAAAAGTACTTTTGGTAGTGGTTTTGTAAAGATTTGGCCTTGTGCATGTAAGATAGCGATGACTTCCTACCAAACTCCAGTACCTATTTGCATCTACTCATTCTCACTCATCGTACTTTGAGGGCTTTGCACTTGGTTCCATTGGTATTGATACCGGGTTGAAATTTTTTATCTTGTACTTCTTTAAAATCTCCTTTGCATATGTCTCCTGTGATATAAAAATACCCGTCTCTCCTTGTTTAACCTCCAAACCAAGGAAAAACTTCAACAAGCCCAAATCTGTCATCTAAAATTCTCGTGTCATTGTGCTTTTAAACTCTTCTATCATCTAATCATTGTTACCTGAAAAATGAGGTCATCGACATAAAGAGCAACAAGTATCACATTACCTCCACTCTTCTTTGTGTCAAGTGCATGCTCGTAGGGACATTGCATGTACCTGTTCTCCTTGAAATATGTATCGATACGAGTATTCCATGCTCGCGGTGCTTGCTGTTAGATAAAACCTGAGTTTTTCCTTATTTAGATTCACACGATTACATTAATTCTCCGTTTGACCATTTGACAAACACGTCGAATGGATTAACGAAGTTTTAGAGGGTAATTTTGTAGGAAGTGACACAGATTCAGTTGCCACTCTCCAGCCATTTTTAGGATATGTTATATTTAAATAGAAAATCTGTTCAGAAGATTTCATGATTGTAAGGGCAGTCAAAATTTCAGTCATTCTCTTTATTTTACACATTTTTTTTTTCTTCCAACAACCTCCTGTCGACAATTTCCTCTCACCGAAAAGAAAGGATTTCCCTGGCCGATTATCAAAATCCAACACTTCCTTCAATCCGTAAAACGCCTTCTTCAATTTTAGTACCTTCTTCTCTTCTCCAATTTTCATGTACCTGGGTGGCTGTTCGAGGTAGACTTCTACTTCAAGCACACCATTCAAGAATGCCGACTTGGTATCCATTTGAAAAATCTACCATTTAATTGAGCCGCTTGGGAAATGAGCAATTGGATTGTCTCCATTCTTGCAACAGGAGCAAATACTTCGTCATAGTCGATTCCCGCCTTTTGCTTGTATCCCTTCGCAACAAGTTGCGCCTTGTAACGCTCTATCTTCCCTTGAGCATTCATCTTTTTCTTGAACACCCGCTTCACACCAATGGGTTGACTTCCTTCCAGTAAATCTGTTAACTCCCATGTATTGTTGCGATGAATCGTTTTAATCTCTTCATCCATGGCAGTTTGCCACTTCTTGTCTCGCACCCCCTCTACAAAGCTGATATTTTCAGTATCTGCAAGAAAACATACAAGGTGTACCTCATTTGTTGAATCATACAAGTCTCGCAAACTTCACATATTGGGTTGTCGTGGTTCATCTTCATCATCGAAAATTTCGTAGTTTATTGGTATACTTGTTGGTGCAACGACTGATGGTTCTTCAACTTCGATATTAACTTCCGTCGAATTATTCAAGTCCCACTCGTTTGCTTCATTTACTCGCACATCACGACTCACCATTACCATCTTGCTTATCAGGTCAAGTAGCTTGTATCCTTTTGTTTTCTCATCATACCCAATAGAAATATATCTTTTGCTTTTGTCTTCGAGATTCGTTCTTTGTTGATTCGGTACGTGAGCATAAGACACACTACCGAGCACTTTGAGATGAGAAACTGTAGGCTTTTGCCCGCTCCAAGCCTCTTATGGTGTTTGATCATCTAACTTCGCATGTGGACATCGATTTTGCACATAGATGGCGCATTGCACGGCTTCTGCCTAAAATTCCTTTGGCATCCTTTTACTCTTGAGCATTGACCGAACCATGTCGAGAATGGTTCAGTTTTTTCTCTCGGCCACACCATTTTGTTGAGGGGTGTACGGTGCGGTTAGAAATCGCCTTATGCTTTGCTCCTAGCAATACTCCATGAAAGTCGTCAAAGTATACTCGTCGCCTCTATCGGATCGTACAGCTTTGATGTGTCTACCAATTGCCTTCTCCACCATCACTTTGAACTTTTTGAACACCTCAAATGTCTCGAATTTTTCTTTCAAAAAGTAAACCCAAGTTTTTTGTGAGTAGTCTTCGATAAAGGAAATGAAATATCTTTTACCGCTGAAAGACTCGGGGTAATTGGTCCACATATATTGTTGTTTTGACTTTGGAGGAAAAAGTCGAAGGAAAGAGTTGAAGGAATACTCTTGGAAGAAGAAACTAACTAAAAAATAATAGAAATAGAAAGTAGCTGAAGACCCGATGTCTGTTCGTCATTCAATTGGCATATTTAAATAACAATATATCCTCAAAATAGAAAAGAAAATAACAACCGAATTAAAGCCCTATGGTATGTATCTACTTTATTGTTTGAACTCTAATCTTCGAACTCGCGTGCCACCAGTCTAGGTGGTTCACCTCCTCCCAGTAGGTCTTCCATCCTCTGGTACTTGGCCACCAGACCATCATCGTGATTAACATCCAGCGTCGAATCCGCAGTCCGTGGTGTTGCGAACTCCACTGGTTCAGGGGGTGCGTCAAAATCCACAATCCGTGGTATTGCGAACTCCACTGGTTTTGGGGGTGCAGCCGCTGGCGACGGTGACAGTTTCCGATGCTGCGCTCCTCCTTCTCCCAGCTCGATGATGAGGCACAACACCGCGAATTGGTTTGGGTTTTGGTCCGCCTCGATCACATCGTTCCACTGCCAAAAGGTATCGAAGATGATGTCGCGCAACACGTGAGCTCGCCCCCCCCCCCCCCCCCCCCC